CCCCATTTCTTAGATAGCATGCGAAAACTAGCAATGGTTAGCTTAGGAGAAACGGAAGTCTTAAGTGTTCTGAAAGAACTACGCTTCATACGCATATTCGGAACGTTTGCAGTGTTTTGTAGATAAAATGCCCCGAATTAAAGTCCCAATAATGAGCAAAATGTTAATCAAGCCATTTTGTTTTGCATTCATTAGAATAAGCAACTGAGATGAGTATTTACCAAATTCCAAACAGACCGTGGTACCGATGAATACCATTTGTCAATGGATGAAATTACGAGGACAGAAGGAACCCCGCTGGATGATGCTCGAATCGCTGACTGCACCGAATGAGAAAAGCGCTCCTCCGGTGACCCTGCAGAAAAAGACAACTTGGAATATCCAGAAAAAACCCTGACACAATAACTTTTCACAATAAACGATTAGACGAGCCACTTTTCCAGTCTCGCTTCTTCCGCGGCTATGATGGAAGGGTTTAATCTTAATTCATTACACACTTTAATCTTAATATCTACTAACTCTAACTATCACAAATGTCGTACTGACAAAGTCCAATTGTGGTAGTGGCAAAAAATGTATACGACTTAATGGACCGAAAAATTCTTTACAGAAGGAAAGGCCATGAAAACTGATGTAATTAGTCCGAAATTGGAAACAGCGAAAATAACTCACCGTAAGAGAAGAGGCTTGCAATTGAAAGTGAAAATACCGGTAGATGATCAAGTCGATTGATAATTACTGGCAAAAAGTAGGACGTTTGGCCCATTTTACTTGACGAACCGTAAAGCAATAGGCGAGCTAAAAGTAATGCAAATACTAACAAGAATAATTATATGAATACCAAAGCTGTACGGACAACCAGCGCGGGAAGCTAATGTTATTGAGATGCTCCCATAAACTGGGAACAACAGTGTCAAGCCCTACGATCTTAAGATGCTTGCTGCTAATTAATACCTGCCGCACATTTAAATATTTTGGTGACCTGTTCGAGGCGGCGTCTGAATAGGAGATAAAGTCAGAGCAGCATTTCAAAATAGAA